AGGAAGCTGACACATATCGATGATAATGTTTCATGAAAATCGAATTGGATCGTAAATTGACCAAAATCACAAACGTGCGGTTTCAAAATCTAATTCAATATGCATTATACTTTTATTGAGATTTGAGCGAAACGGTAATGTTCTCTGATTTTTAACGTTTCTACAATTTTGTACAAAACAATTTAACAAATCCACTTACAATGAGTACATTTACAAAGCTATACACAACTAAATATTAGTTTGTGAATAAAACTCACTAATCAAACTAAACATTATGTATTCATATAATAACATTTCATTACTGTCATAATCAACGATACTTTATCAAAAGTAGAGAAAACAAAATTATGAAGAGGCAATAACTACAACAATTACTCAATATATTTATGAAGCAAATATTAATTCACTTAAACATTCCATTTTAAACAAATATGAATTTAATTTAAGAAAAAACAGAAGCTCTAAATCAATCTATTCTATACTAGTTATAAGTTGTTATTAATTAAAGATTTGAATTCAAAAAATGAGCTTTTTTGTCATTTTTGAATCTTTAATTAACCTAAATAACTATTTCAAAGTTCTAGTTTAAATTCAGTCTGTACATGGTAAGCATTTTGATAAATTGTCATAGTGTTTATTAAGCCGGTAAGTTTTCAAATTTTTACTTGGACATGATCATTCATATTCGCATAGAGTAATAAACTAATAAGGGTAGTTAAAATTTTTTGTACTTTTTCTATCTATCCTCTTTTCAAAAAATAGTCGTCCTTCTTAACATATCGATCTGTCTGTTTATTGGCTGTCAATCTCTTTGATGGCAGTAAATATAACGAAATAAATTTTTCCTTTGGCAATAATCATACGCAATGATTTTGACCATGTTTATAAACGCATATACACATGCATACTCTGATATATATATCCTATAACTAGGTTAAATCTTTAAGAACTCAATAAAAAGTGATAATAATAATAATAATAGTTTATTAGATCGGATAATAAATTACATTGTTTAAGATGGGAATAATTATAAACATTGTGTGTGTGTGTGTGTGTCATTTTCCAATAGTCTATAAAATTTAAGTATATTAATGGCATAAAGATGGAACTTAGTCATGAGGAGTATTGACGTATTCTGTTGTGCTCAACACTAATTAACAGAAAGTTTATGTTCGAATACTTTGTTATACACAATGTGCCCAATTAAAGGATAAACCAGGCTACTATGACTTCTAATAAAACTTGAGGAAAATATCAGAAAATGCATGAAATACTAACGGTTGTTCATGCAAATAAATTACGATAGGACAAAACTTCTTTTATACGAATCAAGCGTGTTATCAATGCCTGTAACGAACACAAGAACAATCCATGATCAGGATAACCACTGACCTCTTATGTTGATAAAAACTTTTTTTCTGCCAACTACCTAACATTATAACTAATATTTTTGGAATTTGATGTAAAAAATAGTACATATCTATGTTCAATATTACGTGTTGCATGGAATACTACTGACGTACTGAAGAAAAACAATACTAACTTTATTACTGATTTGCAAATTAAATATTAGAGAAGTTGATACATATTCTACAATATCTAATTTCCGCAGGACATATGAATATTAACAAAAATGGCGTAAAAATGATAATTATAGTACCACATAGTTCGAGCCAGTCATACATATATATATATATATATATATATATATATATATATATATATATATATATATAACTGTTAAAGTAATAATACTCAGTTGCCTGCATTACAGATGAAACAATATTTCAACGCATACACAGTAGTTGAAATTCGTTTTAAATTGACAGGTAATCATATAGTTATGTTTGGACTTCACACTACGATTATTCTATGATTTTTCTCTATTAACAATTAAAAACCAGATTAGTGAGTTAAACAAATGCATTGGTTGACTTATAATAGTACTATCATAAGTAAGTTATCTTGGTCGTTGTAAATTCAAACAAATGAAGTTCATTCAAATTGAACCATGACCAAGACTTACGTTTCCCTTACGACATCTATTTGTAAAAACTTTTCTTCAGAGAAAGCTATCTCCAATTATCTTGATTAGTAACAGATTTGGCATCATCTTTTAATAGATCCTTTATTGATTTTTTCTTCTTTTTCCTTTCGTTTCGAACTGTTCAATCCAATTTCGTATTGAATGAGATTTTTAAATAGATTTATTTTCGTTTTAATAATAACCTTCATTTGTCTTGACAATTAAAAATCATTTTAAGCAATATTCTTTGCAAAACCTCTGATTATTTTTCTTTAGAGGTTCGACGTTACATCTAGTTTAAAGATGACATAGTTTACAATTGATTGCTACATTTTCCCCTAGATCTTGGGTTTTATTACTACCAAAAGCATTTTTCTTTTTTCGTATTTCATTACCTGAATCCATACTAGTAGTCGATTTACAATCTTCTAGACTTTTAATCGAATTTTTCTTACGTCAAAAAGGCTCGTCGCAAACGTAGAGATGGTTAACATTGACTTAACTAACAAATAGGTTTTGTCATTACATTACAAAACCTTTGTAAAGTGAATTCATGACCCTGAAACAGAAAGGTGAGATGTTGGAAATCGCTAGTAATCCACAACTGAAAATCATGCGGCGTATTTTTTCTGGGACCGAATGTTTAGGAAAAAACCCTATGAGTGTAAAAACCTTATCGACTCATTGTTTCAGAAACGCTTTTAACTACGGTTTCGGTGCATAAAATGAGAATTGTAGAGTTTAAATTCAGATGAGACAATATCGCGGGATTTACTTACATAAGTATTAACAGGAGAAAAGAAGAGATAGAATACGATGTATGTAGTTGGGAAATGAAAAGGGGATATATTTGAGAAACTGGAGCCAATTTTGAGCCATGCCGCTAACAGAAATGTGAATATAATTACAACTTTAAAATATAAATAAATTACAAAATTTATTTGTTCCTATGGGTTTGAAATTTATTGTTTTAGGGGTGAATCGGGTTGCGGGTTTAAAATTTGCTCCGTTTAATTGGGTTCGGGTATTTAGGCAGTATCTATCACTAGTTTTCATATGAAAAAGATGACAAAAGATTAGGTGTATGGGTTTGTACTCAGTTACTGAACTAAAACCTATACAAATCTGAAGTATTCAAACACTTGAGATAATTAAACTGAACTAAGTAGAAACCGAAATAACTAATCTACTTACACATAAATATTGCAATATAACAAACTGAGAGATAATAAATAAGATTGAGAGTGTGGTTAGAAAATTTATCAAGGTATAAAATAAATACATTTAAGTATAGCAACTGCTTCTGCTCAGTAAGCAACCTTGCTGACTGTAACGATTTAGTCAAGCTAAAATGGGAAATTAGTGATAGATCCAAAGTTTTTATACAGCTGAACTCAATATTATGATTTATAAACTGGAGTCGTGTTTAGCTTTTAGTATTCCGAAGCCGTTTTAAACTTTATTCTCTCCACAAACATGAACCAATGGTTGGATATTATTTATTTGAACAATCTTCAAAGACTACATACAGCTATAACGCTGTTGTGAATCTAGACTCAGATTGTTCAATTAATACTACACATTAACATTGTACCGAAATCAGTTATAGGCTCTTTTATGAAATTGTTAGATGGTATGATGGAAAATTGAGCAACCATAACAGAGCCTAAACGATCAACGCTAAGAAAGAATGGACATATATAATACTAGCCGGAATTCAGAGACCAATCCATTGCAAATATATGTCTTTGGAGGGGTGGGTAGCTCAAAGGTGACGTTTCGAATCGAGGAGCCGGATAACATAGGATCCAGTTCGCTAGAGGCCACTAGGTCCCTTAAGATCTTAAGTGTACTTTATCGATATGCACCAAATAATACCAAACTTTGGTTCGAGCTTTGCATAAAAGGCACTGAACAATAAGTGTCCTTAAAGTGTACTTGTTAGGTGCTTATTGTACTCCATGGTCTATAAGGTAGGAAAGCGGTTGAGAGTTTTGACAGCTTCAATTATCTCGGGAGTGCCATCAGTGCTAATTTAGTGGTGTGTGAGGAAATCTCAGCACGGATACAGAAAGCTCGACTGGCTTCTGCCAACCTGCGTTAATTATGGTGTAGATGTGATATCCGTCTGCTAACCAAAGGACGAGTGTACTGCGAAGCAGTTCGCTCCGCCCTACTTCAAGGCTGTGAAACATAGCCAGTCAGAGAAGGAGATATTCGCAGGTTGCTTTTTTTCGATTATAGGTGTTTCCGAAACATCGCTCGTGTACCCTGGGACAACCGAGTAATCAATGCTATAGTTAGGAAACGAGTTCTAGGTAAGGATGGCAAATCAATAGGTGAAGTATTGAAACTTCATCAGTTGAGGTGGTTGGGACATGTATTACGTATGCCCTACTACCGACTGCCTCGTCGAGCTATGTTTCGCGGTGTAGGAGTAGGCTGGAAGAAAGCTAAGGGCGACCAAACCGAAACAAGACAGAAATCCATGAAATCACTAACAAGTGAACTGAGTCATGTTGGTAGATGTAGGCTACCTGATTGGGGTCCGCCAGACGAAAGTCACCAATGGTTAGAGACCTTGAACCACACGGCTCTAAATCTTTTGCAAAGCAGCGGGTGTATCCAATCTTTGTGTTCTCTCAAATTCAAACCTTCTGAATTCCTCATCACATCTATCTTTTCTTTCTAAAGTTATCTCACTGAATTGTGCTTTTTGGATATCTTTGCACCCTAATCACAAGACGTAAAAGCAAACAAATGACATACAAGAAAGTATAAATTAATCAAATAATGGAAATGCAAAACCAAAAATATAAGTCTGTATTCCTGGAGTCGACGTGGTGATGTGAATTAATACCTTTAGCAAACAGACAAAAAAGTAAGTGCTTTATTTAGCTGAATAGCGAAGGGAAAATTGGTGTGTGGGGAAAAGTAAACCAATAAACAGTTCATATAGAAATTACAGACTTACTAATAAATTCAACACTGTTTTTCTTTGAAGAGACATCACCTTTTTTTGACGAGCATTGGCCTGTTGGAGAATTGGGTTTGGAACGTGGGTGCGTCAACTTTCGCCTAATGTTACTGAACATAGTGTATGGAATTGACTTTAAGTGAAAACAAATTAAATGCAAAGAACAGCTGATGAGTATAGAGGGGCCAAAAAACTGGTTACAAAATACAATATTATCCGAGCAGCATTCAGTGAAATAAAAATGTATTTATTGATCACGTGGATTATTAAAACAAACCAAAATGTAGTAAATAAAACATTTGTGAAACAAAACTTCGAAAGAGAAACGATCACTTAGTTAAACGTCCGAATCCACCATATTGAAAGACGCGCACCAGAAAAGTTCAAGCGCCTGGTCTGCAAAAACAAACTCACATATAATATATGCGAATCAAACATAATCTAATGTCCAATGTATCCAACATCTTTTTCATGAGCTTGTGAAAACCACTTGATTTTTTTGCACTAGATTTTTGCTTTTCTGTAAGATTACAGGTTTTTGGAAGAATTCAATGTATGGTGGTATAGCCCCCCGACTGCACAAACACTGGTCGATTGGTAGTTATTTATGAGATTGTATGTCCCGTGATTTGAATAAGTGCTTTTTTCAAGAAAAAAGGGTTTCTGGAAACAGGCGGCTATCACAATCCCAGGAACTTACCTCACAATCTTATCTTAATTTAAGAAAAATGCAGTCACCACCACAACTTGAAGTTCTTTATGTCCTAGCATAATACATATGTCTCGTTGATAGAGCACAAAGAGGTGCAACTAAGTGGGATATAGGATTAAAATGTAAACCTTACTAAGTTATTCCCCAACTTTTGGGATTATTACCTTCTAGTTATATGAGAATCATAGATGTGATAACAGTGGTGTTCAATATATTCAGTACTGCAAATCATTCCAACATAAAGATCTCGCCAAAAAATCACAATAACCACCTCTCTTAGTAATTCCGGAAAAAAGCATAACGAAGTTCGAACACCTAAATACGTGCCTGATTTAAAAGTTGCCCCAAACTGAAATGCTCTTACAACCCAGATGACCTCATCCCCCACAGTAGACAGCTTCAAGCGGAAACCTGACAAACACGAACTAATACTCTGATTTTCATCTCCCTCTTGGATTACCTGCGACTAATGAAGGTCTCGAAATATGGTTGCTGCTGGCTTCTAAAAATCTTACTTTCTTGAAACAAACTCATTAAAATGACGGGACATACAAATTCCTAAATAACTGCAAACCGACTAAAAATAGTGCAGTCGAGTTCCTAGACTGCTATACATTATATACTGCCAAACATCTGAAACCATAAATAAAAACAAGAATCTGGAGAGAAGAGGTCATTTGGTTCATATTTGCTCGTGAGACAGATATTGGATATTGTATACTGTGATTTCAAACCGTCCAATAGTGTAAAGCAACGGTATCTGGCTCCTTTTCAAACATTTAGTGTGGTCTTGATTGACCATTCCTCATTAGGTAATTGCGGCTGTGCAGTATTCTCATGCGCCTTGTTTAAAGTGCTTCGCATTACACTTAACTTCTGGGAATTACGTATTTATCCAACGACTGATGTTTAACAGTCTTTTACTATCAGTATACTGACAAAAACTTATTACCAAACTTTTTAATTAATAAAAAGTTTAACCTATTTTAACTTTCAGATAACGAATCAATGTTATGCAAATAATGTAGGCTTGCCCTAGTATCCTGGCTATAGCCAGGTACTCTGTGTAAAAACCTCGCAACCTTAATTACTCATTTTCATTGGATAGATGCTGATATTGCGAACTTGTCTAGAAATTTAGAAGTTATTACTTGCTGATAGGAACTGTTATGTAGAACAGATGTATTTTTCTATGGTCCCAGGTCTTTGTAAGAGTTTTATTAGATAAGCAGTTTCTGATGATGAGCATCCGATATATATATATATATATATATATATATATATATATATATATATATATATATATATATATATATATATATATATAAGATACTACATATTTAGTGATTTTGCTTTCGGCGATCGAGTTATTTCATTGAAACAGCTGTTTTGCATTATAGTTCATCGAAGCAAGTAAAATTTCATTTGTTCGGTTAGAATTAGCCGTATATACATATAGTGGCGTTGTTACTGTCTTTACAGTTTTTAGCATTTTTAGAACAGGTACTAGGCTTTTTAGTGACTTTCGCATCTGAAAGGGCACAAAAATATGTGTTTACACGAAAGCATTCGCAAATTCTGGAGATATGCTTCACAACTGGCATCGGTTTTTCGTTGGACACTAACCCTGAGTGATTGCAATATTCTGCGTATATCATTGTGTTGATAATGAAAGTCTGTAGCTCAAATTACGCTTATGCTTCGAGCCATTGCTTATTAAAGACAAGTAGCTATATGAGCATAATTACAACGTACAGCCACCATCGTTGTTTCCTATGATTACCGTATGTGTTCCTAGGTTTCGGAAGGATGTCACAATATCTCCAGTAAAGCTCATTACTTCATCTAAACTGTAGTATTAAATCGTCTGCAAAAACTGAGAAGAAGCAACAATATACACCTCTTTCGTTCCCATTTAATCAGACAATCCACAAGTATTGACTGAAAACTAATCTGGATGTTTATGTTTCGTCCTAGTTCATAGTTGAGTTTATGAACCAATATTGATGAGTTAGTCGGTTAATCAAAGGCACTGTATTTCGTAAATCAGTCACAGACGTATATCCAAGTTTTTTGCATGATAAACTCGTTCATCTGACTTCTCCCAATAAATTAAACATTGATGTCAGAAAAATAGTGATCTTTTTGAATATATTTCATTGATCTAATTTTTCGTAATACTTTCTTATATCAAGGTATAATAATCTACTTTCTTTACAGATATATGGATTTCAATCATTTAAATATTGTTTTTATTTTGGTGAACTTCATAGTCATTGTTTTTGGAGCGTTCCGCAATGAACATTGTATCCTTGTCAATGTTATCATGTAATCAGCTGACTATTATTTTAGATATGGATAAAGTCTTCAGGCCTAATATTTAAGGTTATGTGTGACTTCCTCATTGTTCAGGAAGTGCCTTATAATGAGAACAGAACTCAATATCAAATATTCACTGCGTAATCAGAATAGGAACTGAAGATGATAGATATTATAAACTTAAAATTATTCAGAGCATTTTAGATAGCCTTTAACTGCCTAACTGTCAATTTTTCCAGATGTGAGTTTTATCGGTCGTCGTTGTCCATGGTGTATGATATCATCTGATGTGCATAAGTGCTCGTAAAAAAACTTATGGCTTAACTATATAGTCAATAGGATAATGTTTAAGCTGACACAACCGATCAAAGTTTGGTAGGTCTTTTATCCAACTCTTCATATGCATGTTTAACAGGCTGTTACTACGTTGAAAATGTTCTCATCTGTAAGAAAAGTCTTGATCTCTAGTTTTCCAATCTTATATAAATGGGATCAGCAATGAATAAGCATGATATGTAGGATCATTTGATTCCTTGTTTTCATAACTGATTTCCTCAAACATGTTTATTCCATCATTAGTCAGACGTGGTAAAAATCAACTGAGATGTATTCTAAATCGTTGAGTACTCTTTCCATATATCACTCGAGCTTTCAGCCTCCAATTCTGTATTCGGAGTATTTGATATCAGAACTAATATAATCCATTGTTCTTTTCTTACCATTTTTGTAGTTTCACACGATGAACTAACGTTATTTAACTAATAGCCGATGAGAAAGCACTAGAAATTCGTTTCGTTTTATTGTACAATTCTTCAATGGTGTACATCCATGCCCTTTAGTCCTCTATGTGACCGCATATTTTGTAGGCTACTAGGTTCTTATGCGATGGTGTACATTCCTAGCAGTAGTCAATTCTTAATGTTTCAGTGACACTTATCAAACTCGACATAGTTGGACTCCAGTGTCCACGATTTCCCTCAAATCTAAAACCCTTATATCTCGCCCTGAGTATGCTTCCCTTTAGCTGCTAAGTCCGCATCGTTTAATAAACACAATTTATTACGTAGAGGTACCTTCGTTGACTATCCCTAGATAGTATTTGTTTCAGCGTCCATTTTGTGGCTCTATAAGTTATAACTTTTCAATCTACATTCTGGGAATTTCTATTTCAAACCTAGTCATATATTAGTGTACATACATTTTTCGGTAAAGTGACCTGTGTGGATATTTACTTGGGCTGAAGATCGTTTACGTCGTGGGCTTCTGTTAGCTGAAAAACTAGGTATCTATGAAACCTTATTTCGCACTAAGTTGTAACTAGTCGAAAATATGTACCACCGTAACTCTCTACAAACCTAAGTCTTTCCTATCTCCATTGTAATTTAAAAACCGTGAACTACATTTCGAATGTTGGTTTCCATTTCCACAATACGCAGAGCTAGGGAAAAGATTTATGCTCAACAGCTTGACAAATGCAACCCTAGTTATTAAACTGCACAGCAAGCATTTAAATTATGTTCCTATGGTTGAATAAATAGAACTTTTAAGTGCCTATTTTAGGATATTATGTTAGCAATAACGCGATCAATTGACTATTATTCACACACACACACACTAGTCGTTACTTTGTCGATTCAGTTGAATATCATTTATTTAGGATAGTATGCTACCATCGTATTGTTGCGCTTCATTTTTGTCTATATGTATAGTCTTCTATATTACAAGCCATTTTACTTAATTGCATACCAAATAAAAGACAACCAGGCTTCTTTTCGCACAAAAAGAGAAATTCATGCCCAGGAATTAGCTCGAATACTGAATGAAGTACCAACAGGACGACATGATGATGTTGCACTCAAACTTTTTCAAAACATCATTAATGTAAGTATTGTGTTTTCCGGACTTTTTTTTGCTTCTTGTTTTTACGTTTTAGTAGGTTATCTTCACATTTTATTTAAGATATTCAATCCGGTAAAGTTGAAGGGCGAGGGAATTTCTGCAGATTATTACTCCCCGCTGAACCTGAGTGACCTGAGTTCAGTCGAATGATAATTAGTCATTAGCACTCATTCGTCGAGGTTGAGTCCCAAATATGAACAGAACTATCGTTCGATCTTTCCTGTTCTTCAATAATCCTTCAACTAATATCAGTCAGCCTATTCCAATTTAAAAATTCACAAATGTATTACGGCCAGTTCACAGATTCTACCTAAGATCTCAGTCAATTTAACTGCTCAAACTGGACCACCATCCTTAAAAATCTCTCGGGTAAATATATCAGGTCCTGCTGCTCTCCCTCGTTTCAGATCTCCTATATTCTTTTCAACTTCATAAAGATTTGGAGGGCTTACGTCGACTTGCCGTTCAGGTTGACTGTAGATCGTGGGCAACTGAAGTGTGTCTGAAGGCCAGCTGAACTGATCCCCAAAGCGTTCTGCTCATCGATCCAATCTCCTGGTGTGAGAATGAATCATAAGCCGATCCTTTTCTGAGATATTTTCGCTAACAAATAGGTTTCTAATACTGGTTTCCTTGATCAGTCGGAACAGCTGTTTACTGTTACCTATCGCCGCTACCTTTTCCATCGCTTTTGCTTTTGCTACCCACCAGTGTTCGCGATCATTGCGTAGGCTTTTTATTAGCCTGCGCCTAAGCTGACTTCGCTCTTCGTCATGTTCAGAGCCAGGTGGGATGAGTTTATGAGCGTCTACCAGTTTGGTGGATGCTACTGAGATCCACAGCCTCTTCCTAGCCTTATGGTTTACCTAGCTAGAAGATATCACTGCTGATTTTACAGCCTTTTCAATATGATTCCAAGCTGCCTCCGGATGGGAATCACTTACATGGTAGCCTGTTTTTCTAGTTGTTCCTGAAATATATTCTTAGCTAAGCTATCGTTGTGTAGAGCCCCAATAGGTTCCCTTGCGGTGTCTTTCCTACGTCCGGTAAGTCGCAAACAAATACGCGCTCGCACTAGAGCATGATCTGAATCTAGACATGTGCCCCAGAACGAGCGACAGTTCTCTATCGAACCTCTCCATCGGTGGCTTATAGCAATCTGATCTAGTTGGGTCCAGCGTTGGGACGACTTTCAGGGTCGTCATGTCAAGAGATGCTTTTCTTTATGCCTAAAGTTAGTGTTTGCTAGAAATAGACGGTTACCTGAGCACAGCTGCAGCAGACGGTCGCCATTATCCGTTCTATTAGCCGCGACACCATAAGATCCACCCAGGTGTCTTTCCTCTTTGCTGGGTCTCCCTACTTGAGCATTAAAGTCACCAGCCATTGTTACTATATCAGAATGCCTAACACTTGGAGGAAGTCCAAAAGCTTTCTATAAATTTCATCTTTTATGTCTTTTGAACTTCAGTCAGTGGGGGCGTAGGTGGAGACAAACTATCCCTATCTTTCCGAATCCTTACTGCCTGTTCAGTCGGACAGCGCACAAGCGACTATCTACTGGGATCCAGTCTAGGAGAGCTAGTTCTGCCCTAGGACTCAATGCTATACCTACGCCAGCGAAATCCCTGGAAGCAGCATCAGGACTTCCAGATACACAAGGAGTAAATCGAATTGGTTCTTTATTTTGACAAGATGAAATCAAATTAATGATTTTACTAGGATACTGTATGCGCGTTTCCGAGACGCAGCATACATCTACGGAGCGAGATTCTAATGTCCTAGTTAAGGAAGCCTGTTGTTCTATTTGTCACAATGTCCGGACATTAAATGCTCCAACATGTAATTTGGAACGAGGTTTCAAGAGACTAGAAATGACGTTTCGTGAACTCGCAGTGTTTGCATTAGCGGTGCGGGGTGATAAAAGAGTGTGAGAAGAGTTAGTCGTGGAGATAAGAGAAATAGTAGGGGTGTAGGAAGGATTTGTTTGTGACCGATTTGGTCTCGCCTGCTGTTACGTGTATGAGGGCAGTTTTCACTTCCTAGCTGCCCACACCGTGGGAGGGTGTTTCTCGAGATACCTGAACGTAGACTAGTGTTGGTCTTAACGATCAGGGAGCGTGATTGCAGAGTCCAAGGGACAACTGCTTGAGGCCGGTCACACAGGGCATTTTTATGATGTTTTTCGAGTACTAGCTCCGCTCTTGTTTAAAAGCCCCTACCGCCGGAAGCGGAAATCTGTGAGGTAGGGCAAGGTTTGACATTTTTAGGGTCAACCTTTACTAACCCTTCCTTCCTTGTGAGAAGGCAGCATCGCTGCAGATGCTGGTTTTCCGAGGGAAACACCTTACTGCTGTCACACCCCTCTACAGCCAGCAGTTTGACTTCGCCCTCAGACGTTTAGTAGCTGCGTTTAGTCTCATCGTTCTCCAATCGACCTGCCTGGCATAGTAGGACAAGTATAGCTCGGTTGGGTCATGACGATAGGCAAGCCCGACCACCACGTCAAGATAGCGGCTACGGTCGGTTAAGACTAATAGAAATACTAAATTGTTGGTTAAATTAATGAACTCTCAATCATTGAGATCATTGGTTTGAACTCCATTCATCCTTCTATAGTCTAGATAGCTAGGTAACATTATTAGTCATCATTTTTTAGAACTGATTGTATCTCAGTTACAAGTACATCAATCGGTACTTGGTTTAGTACTTACGTTTAGCAGAGAAAAACCAAATGGCTATTATGTATATGGTTATATACGCGTATGATATGGTCTAGTTTATTCTATTAGTTTGTTTCCTTCATATTCAATATCCAATAGACAAGCTCTGGTCTGATCAAATGAGAAAGCAGTTGGTTAATAAGCGGAAATCAAAGTTTATTTAGTTGTGTTGAGTTGATTTTCATTTACTGTCCGAACACACCTTAGAAGTTGGATAATACTTATGATCATTCAAATATAGTAAAAACAATACACGTTTCTCAACTTTATTCAAATTGATGTTGTTTATTTTTACTGTGTTCAGCAGTATGTTTGGATAGTTTCATCTAATAATCACTTGTCGACTGGATTAGCAATATGTTCCACTAAATGTTAATTTATTCCAATGTAAACTGAAACCCATAATTATTTTTACTATCCACATCCACTGGACTATCATTAGGAGAACAAGCTCAAACCTCAACTTTGCATTTCATTTCAAGTAGAAAAAGGTAGTGATGGTAACCCATACATAGAAAAAACCAAATGTAGCTTCTTCAATACATACATAAGCCAGATAAATGCATCCAAATACATTGAGTAACTGTAGTAGCATGTCCAGTAGGATACAAAACCACAAAAAACTTTTCCCAAACGGGTTTGAAAAACTATGATTTCACTACAGTTTCGCCTAATGTGTGTGGTCGATCGGATTCCATTGGGATGAAATATACACTTATTGGTATTGATGTTTGATTCAAGCTAACAACGTTTTTATCGTTGTTTTCGTCATTACTGCTTTATTAGATTCTTCAGGAATCGCGTAAAACACTACATGGTGTCGACATTCATTCAGAAACTAAAAATGATACAATAGGACAAGGTAAGTAAATGAAACTAATCATTACTACTGATAATTTCTGTCTACTAACTAAATCTTTATTGTTGTAAATCACGGAACGACTTTAGTTTAACAGCCGTTGAAAGTCAGGGAGCACTGAATAATTTTTGTTTCAGTATGAGATTCCTCCAATTATTCGTATACAACTGTACGGCCGATCGAACCTAAGATTTACATATCCCAAGGTAAATGCCTGACCTTCAGACTACTAAGTTTGAGTCCCGTGAAATACATTTTTGACTTCAGGAAGACTAAGGCCTATCTGTGGTGTACAACTATAAAATTCAATGATCTTCACAACGCTCAATATACTGAAACAGATTTAAATTTCAACCTCATTCGTTTCTTCATAAGAAGTCGATCTTTACTGTTCATTAACGTTTGGCTACTATCTATATAAATATTTATTGTGTATACTACTTCAGTTATTAAAACAGGCTGATTTAATAGCTTTAAAATAACTGAAAAGCTCCCTTATAAATGGAATAGGCTCTAATAGTATTGTTCATAACGGCAATCAGTGTTCCAACACCAAATGATTTCTCTCAGAACACTCAATAACGCAAATGTCTCTGTCTCTTGCAAATCTCTTTCGATTTGGTACATAAAAACAATACATCCGTTCATCCAGTCCATGGCTATGAGCCACACTGTAAGTATAAAAGCTAGTGATACAACTTAGTTGCCCGAAGTAGATGAAGAAGAGTTCGAGCCTGGTACTTGGTGGCTAAAAGTCGAATGCCTTAACCACTAAGCCACCGTTTCACAAGCTTAAGTATATATACATATATATTTATAATTAAAAATATATGATAATTATGATTGTTATTGCTTATTCTTTTCTATTTTTCTATAAAACAATTCTTTTCAGCTTTTGCACTAACTTTTGAAAATACAGCTATACTATGTGATTTAGTTTTACGTTTTCCTGATGTTTATCATTCACATTTTGATGAAAATAATGATATATCTATATTATTAAAATGGTCAATTAATTTATTACGTGAATCACAATTAATGAGTAAATTAGATGAGAATACTTTACATTTAACTGAACAAGAATTAAATTTTATACCAAGAGATTCAAATTATGTCAATGAGTTTAGTTCATATCAGGTAAATTTATCAAAATTTTTTTTCCATTTGTTTGTTGATCTATTTTTGTTAGTTGTACTAAAGTAGTTAAAATTTTCTTTGTATGAAATGAATGATGAATAATAGTTATAAAACCAAGGTGAACCAAACAGTTTTTTTGCTTGAGTATAGAACTTTGTAATTTCGAGATGGTAACAAAGATTTGTTGCTCAAAATGATGATTTTTTTTGTAGTTATGTTTTCTGAAATTGGTGGTTTAATTATGTAGTATTCAATGTCTCTCTAGATAATACCATCAACATAAACTTCGAATAAAATTGAGATGTTTGAATTTTTTCGCTTATGACCAACAACTTTGTTCCATTGTTCTGGTATTCATCATCTTCCCTTCTGACCTGATTTAAGTTTGTCCCGATAATGTTGTCTGGAAAGACAACAAAAGCTATACGACTAAGGTATCCAGTATAGAGAACTCAGCTCCACCAAGAAACACTCAGTAGTGTCTACCTCCCCCCCCCCAAGAATTGAATCCAGAGCCTTCAGGTTTTGGTAACGAATATGTTATCTTTAGATAATTGGTTTTATTATTCAGTGATTTAGCGGTCTAATCCCACTCAATTCGCTCATTACTGTACAATCGTCATCCAATACCACCGGAGTCGCATGTCACTAACATCATTGAGCTTCAAAGGGTATTCTCAGAGTTTTAGTCAGTACCGATTAATATTATTATCAGTGTACAAGCTAAACACTTTCTGTAAACTATCTATGCTATAAAGTTGGACATTATTTTCTCTGAGTAATCACAATTCCATAAAGGATTAAAAACATTTAATGAAACCAGTTATCAACGAGTAAACATTTTACACTCAAATAGTTAGTTTTATGATTGAAATAAATCAGTTAAATTCGAATTCGCCAATCATTATACATGATGTATATTGTGTATGTTCCCTAAAAGAAATTGTAGTCTGAAATTTATATTATAAATGCATGAATAACAGTGTAACATGCCTTAGCTACTGATGGTCGTGTTAACTACTTATTTAAATATATTGATCAGTTCAATTTCATCTTTAATCATGGATGCACATCAATAAGGAGTAATTATTATAAATGGAAAGTAATTGTTGTATTTAGTGTAATTTACGAAATACTAGTTACTAGAAATGTCCGTACTATGACGAAACAGCTAAACTACTCAGTGTGTATGTTGGTGTATGCTGCTTGGTTTACAATAATATCATCTCTTAACTGATTCCAGTTTTTTTTTAAACTTGTATCATTTCTTCACTTCATATTAACGCTTTATTTATTTTTTATAGAAAATGATAAAAGAGAAATTGAGAGCAGAATCAACGCGTAAAGCAAAGAAGTCAACTCGTAGACGTGTCAAGAAACCTCGTCTTACACCGATTCGAAGTGAACTGTAATAGTTTATTCCTAGATGTACGCACATATATATGTATATATGATAGTGTTTGTTTTTAATACCCCCCTCCCTTTCTCTTTCATAATTCATTATTGTTGACAATGGCTGTTGGTCTTATTGAGAAAATTTATAATTATTATTATTGTTATCTGTAACTGCTTGTGCATAGTTTGCTTGTGATTATTCGCATTTTTTTAACTCTTGCTCTTTTTTATTCTGGATTTCACTATGACTTGTAAGTAAAATTTGATTTTACACATTTAACCTTGATGAATTGATACAAAATCTTGTCAGTTTGTTCAATCTCTTTTTATCTTATTGTTTTATTTTCTTAATACATCCTCATCTATTTATTTAAGAAATAAAGTTCCGGATTGTACTTAAATGTTTTCTTTTTTCTTGCAAATAAAGTGAAAATATTTCAATGAAGAAAAATCTTTTGTCAACAATGTCAGTCAGTCAGATGCAACGTAGGACTTCGTACGTAAGTACATCAGTTCATGTTGCTATACCACATTAGTACAGAGATGTAATTTTCAATTCAAATCCAATAGTAGTAGAGGTAGAGAGAGAGAGAGAGAACACAAAGAATATATGCACCGGCACCATTGCAAACGGTTTTCAGCCATGTCATTCAGGGTATCTAAACATCGATTATCACCATCTCGTGGACCCCAACCAGGTAGTCGACAATTACCGGCATGGCTAAGTCCACTCGTCAATGACTTCATGGATTTCTGCCATGTTTTGGTCTGGTCGCCCCTAAATTTCTTCCAACCTACTCCTACACTACAAAACAAAGTTCGGCGAGGCAGTTGGTGATTAAGCATACGCAGCACATGTCCCAACCACAACTGATAAAGTTTCATTACTTCATCTATTGATTTGCCATTCTTACCTAGCAGCCGTTTCTTGTCAACAATGTTATTTACTGAAATGTTGTACAATCCTATTTATGGGTGAATTTTACGCATAGAATGGAAAATTGTTGCATCATTAATGAAGTTTACCAAAAATGAATCAAAAATATTTTTATGTATCAAATATAATCTGCATGCTAATTGAAGAGTAGTAGTAATAAGAATGAAAAGAACGCACAAAAATAAAAATATGAAAGATTATTGTTCACTTGATGAATACTAAAAAAGTGGAGAACACATGTCATGGATAACTGTAAAAATAAAATGCAGGAGGGAGATGAAATAAGGCGATTAAACATAGCACTTCTGATGAGTTCTCAAAAAGCTCTGTTATGTAGAAATTTCTTGTCTAACTTCCTTTCGTTATGTTGTTGTTGGTTATAAATTATCGAATTTTGTGGTTTGCTGCTGTCGATATAGTAATTTTCTACCTTATTTTACCTAAAATAATTATCCTTTCATTACTAGTTCAATCAGATTGTGTAAGCTTTTGAGGTTAGGCGTTCGCGCGCAAGACTGAAGGTCCTGGGTTCGAATCCTGTGAGGTTCAGGAGTCACTGTTCCGCACTGCTGATGAGTCCCATACCAGGACGAAGAGGCCGTCCAGTGCTCCCAGGTTTCTAATGGTGATCTAACAATGATTGATTGATGATTTCAATGTGTAAAAACACTAATCTCCATAATTCTAATTGAAAATTCAAGAAATATCAAAGTGTTAATTGGTTTAAGTACTAGTCTCAGTCAGTCAGATGCAACGTAGAACTTCGTACGTAAGTACATCAGTTCATGTTGCCATACCACATCAGCACAGAGATACAACTGTCAATTCAAATCCAATAGTAGAAGAGGTAGTAAAGTCTAGTCTAGTCTAGAGGTAAGTTATCGTTGTGAATGGTAGACGGTCTAGAAGTGCATGTAAAAGTATATGTAAATGATGAGTAGGAAAGCAATAGATAACACGATTCGACTATTGAGTAATCACACAAACGATAATAATATTTGATAATGTTAACAATCAGCAATGAAGAATGTTGGTTAATTGGTCAAAAAATACAGCTTCTAAAAATTAGGTCACTGTTACCGATTTTGCCTGTCATGCCCTTCATATATCAATTAAAAGGTCCCTTTTTTTCACTGTTTATAGGTCATGTTTAACTGCTTTCATATTGCGTACATCTAATAAGTAGGAATTACAAATGTTTATTAATATAACTGCGGAAAAATGGCACTTGAAACTGGAGTAGACTGAAATTTGCATGATGCAATTAAAAGAACAAAAACTGTTGCTAGACAAAGATCTTGTTCACCATTCGAAAATGTGATAACCACTTATTCATTCATTTGTACATAGATTTTACTGGGGTTTGATGGTTTTTCAATTAATGTCATAAATAAAATGATGGGAATACGAAATCCGTTTATCTAAATGTTTTATGTTATCAGCATCATGCAGAATTAAAACAATCTATCTTTTTATTCCATCCCAATACATATGAACAAATATCTAACTTTTTCCTGTTTCTTACTAATAGTCTGCGTCTACAGTCTCGTTATATGGATTGCGCCTGATTTTGATACATATCGGTTGAATGCCTGAAGCTGGTCAGTCGACTTTATTACGATACACAGCTATCTGTACAATGTCACAAATGTTTTTTATTTGATAAATCAATAAATTATTCTCCCACAAATAATAACAACTTTAACGATGTGAGGTAGCGAAATCCATTATTATTGGTACTAATATTATTATGATTGCCCCTAAATGTCCTGTAACGGTCGAGAGATAGGGAAGTTCGCTTTCCCTCTCGAAATACCTTCATACGGCCACGTGTATGTAGCCGATACCAGGACAGTCCCACCAACCTTTTTCTCACGGTGAGGTTGTCATTTACGAAATCAAAAGGACGAGGATTTTGGTGGGTTTGTAAGTATGGAGAATCCACCTAGAGGCGTTGGGAAATCCTGTTTCCAAACCAATCGTGCATATGAGCTCCAAAATCCTGATGGAACGTGTGGAGTTTGAGCCTGTTGTTGGTGACTGGCTTCCGTGGGACCGCATCTTCAGACACTTTCACTGCCTTATATGTTATGCCTTTTGATCAAAGGCTTGGGGAGTAGCCCTCTAAGATAAACACCTGTTTCGGTTAGGGCACTTCGAAAGCATCTCAGCCCACTGACAAATTCATTGATTTACGTGAGACATCAATATTTTGGTGCCCCTTTGTACCAATAGTAGTGTTTAAATAAATAAATCGATCTAACTATAGTGTCGAAAATTTGGAATGAATTTTGATCGTTTTCAATTTCCATTTTTACTACTCTAATGTTGTGTGTTATGTTGCGTATTTTCTACTGTGATTAATAGCATTGAGTGCTCATTTGCATTAAAGTGTTAAACTAGGACGGAATAGTTGTCAACTACTTTCTGATTTCCAGTGGATTCTCCAAATGATGTTAGCAAGTGACGATGAGAACTATTATATCGGAGCCTCGTGTACGCGACGTCATACGACCTTGATTATGGTCAGTACAAACTTCAGGTAGAACTGAGGTACCTGAATCTCTCCATATACGGCTAAAAGCTTGTCCTGTCACTCTTGATTGGTTGTTGTCGACCTTACCCTATTGTAGTCTACAAGTTCAACATGTCTCTCCCTTTGTCCTAAGTATCGATAGTCTATTTTTCCACCATTTTTCTTATTGGTTGGTAAATGGAATCGATTTCGATGTCTCTGCTGATCAGTATGAGATTCAAACTTCTGAAAATTTTCCAGCTTTCTTTCTATTCACTCAAATCAAATTTCAACATTTTACCAGCCCATTGTGTGCCCTTCTATTGTTGACGTGCACTGATATAGGCGAAGACATGTTCAGATGGTTAGTATTCATAAAGAGGGCTTCCACTCAGGACGATGTAGTGTTTCTTGCAGATAACTGTTTAATTTGTGGATGATATTTGACTTTCCTTCTTTTTTTTCCATTCCTTGGCATAAGACTGATTGAAGTGATTTTGCTAGTTTATACGCTACACTTATATGATTCAGCTTTATAAGTCTTATTGAAATTTCTGATATATTTTTTATACCTGATAGGATGATCCGTTTATTAGTGCCTATTTTTCTGTGCCGTAGGCATACCACAGCGTGTTTTCGCTCTTTTGAAAAAGCTATGCACAGCTGATTATATCAGTTGTTGGGTTGTTGACACCGCAGTTGAGGAGTCGATCCAAGTGGATTAGCTTTCAAAATATCTGAGCCCCCCAGTGATACTGCGTTCATTTCAATGATCAACTTAGCCTAGAATGATAGTTTAATGTTCATATCCTTCTCCATTGTGAACTTTAGATTTTCGTTGGTATTTTTCAACTCATCCTTTTTGATGCTGACGAATGTATCGTCCACATAATGAATCCATATTTTCGGCTTAGTCAGTGGTAAAATTGAGGCTTCTGGTTTTTGCATCACTGCTTCTGCAAAAAGACCTGATATTTGTGATCTCGTCGGTGTTCCTTCAGTTGTTCACAGATTTTATTGTTGAACTGAAGATATGCTGTTAAGCATACATCAATGAGTTGTAGCAAACTTTGACGTTAAAGCTTCGTGTACTTCGGAAGATTTGTGTCATTGGTAAGAAGTAGGGATAACATGTCAAACACAAAAATAAACACGATTAAAAATCATTTAACAATAATCAGACTAATGCAAGAAAAACCAATGACATGTCATTCACACCTAATTGTTATGCGTAATTCTTGCATTGTCATATCGGTTAAATACTGAATAAAAAAACAAATCTCTACAAACCAGTTAACCAAAAAAAGAATTCCCTTGGATTTTTATTCGTTCTCATTTGTAACGTATTGATCGGATGGCATTAAAATTTGCATCAAATAAACTATCAGTCTATATCTGATATTGCTGGTAATCGAATAGTTTCATTTCATCTTAATGTATACAATGAGAACTAATCTAATCAATCATTATGTTAAGTGGATTGGTATTTGAGTCTTGAATAATTTATCCCAGTGGAGGTAATCGTTCTATAAAGATTAAGGCAAATTATGCATGTATTTTTTTTACAAATAACATAATACATTCAACTCTGAGAATTAAATAACATGGTATTGGCATCCATTACTACCAAGTAAATTCATGGTGTGTTCTTAAAATAAGATTATAGTGAAGCATTATCATGATGGTTTAATGTTTAAAGCACTTGATTTTCAGCCAACTCTGGAGTACCTAAGTTGGTTTAGGCAATCAGAAACTCTGTAAATAAAAAGCATGAATCCGAGTTAAGTACATCAGCTTGTACTTGGTGAGTAATTTACCTCCAGAAATAATATTCAACGATATATTTTTGAATTTTTGAAGAGGAACATTATTTTGCTAACCAATATATACGTATTTTAAAGACCGAATCATTAAATTCCAGACTACTGGTTTCAGCCATGTTTGTTGGTACGAACAACGTCGTTAGGACTCATGTTTTGAGTTGAATGAATCAGAATCGGTTATATCAAGATAAATGTGTTCACCATTTATTTTCCTTTAGATCTTGAGTGTTGGCATTCATTCATACATACCTTGCTTTTGTTCCTTTCTACTCTAGCCATATTCTTGTTATTTAATCAATTTCACTTTCATTGTTACTACTACTACTACTACTACTACTACTACTACTACTACTACTACTACTACTACTACTACTACTACTACTACTACTACTACTACTACTACTACTACTACTACTACTACTACTACTACTACTACAATTTCTACTCTTTTGATATCCATCGTGTTAATTGAGTGTCATCTTGATGTGGTATGGAAACCTTAGTTAACTCATAATTTATGCGAGGCTCAACATTGTTCATATCAGTAATTGATTACAAACACACCTTTATTAGGAGTTGATACGTAACACATGTAATCAACAGTCACTGAAGGGAGGAGAGGATCTAAAACCACAACACACAAGGTTAGTTCAACGCCTCACACCAAGAGAGAACACGAAGTGGTTGTCACGGCACTCTTTTATTTGAAAATCAAATACGCTGGCTTTTTACAGGAATAGGATGGGTAGTGTACCAATGTCTTATGAGTCATCCTGTAAGTTTAGAGCACTCAGGGCTTGTTCTTCAGCTTCCAAAGCGTTTGTGTTTGATCGCCCTGAAATAGAAACAAAACAGAACGAGTTAGCACCATAACGGGAAATCCAATGATCATTGAAAGCCCGTGAGACATTTAGGGCGTCTTGCTGAGGAATGGGTACTGCTTCACACCATTTAGTAAAATAATCTACCATAACTAATATGTAGCGATTTCCTTTTTTGTCGTCGTCAATGGTCCCATAATATCGATACCAACTCGCTGGTGCGGTCCAGTTGTTCTCATCGGCATTAACGGTGCACGTGGTATTTGCTTGGGCGATTTTATGCGGCAACACGTGTAACAGATACATTTAAAGCTTATTACTTACTTACGCCTGTTACCCCCAATAGATCATAGGCCGCCCACCAGTTTTCTCCAACCAACTCTGTCCTGGGCTTCCCTCCCCAGTTCTGTCCAATGTTTGTTCATTCCTCTCATATCTTTCTCTATTTCTCGGCGTAGTGTGTTCCTTGGTCTTCCTCTTTTCCTTTTACCTTGAGGGTTCCATGTGAGCGCTTGTCTCGTAACGCAGTTAGGTGCTTTCCGCAATGTGTGTCCTACATTTAAAGCTAGACAAATTAAATATTATTACAATACCTTATGGTTTTCTTTTCAACTATATTACGGTCTTCCGTCTAATGTTCAATAACTTGAAGAATATTCTCTCTTGACTGTGATTCAATAAAAAAAAATCGTTTTTTTTAAATATTATGCCTCTTGTCTCGTTTCTAGTTTGATAAAACAAACAAACAATATAACTTGAATAATAAGAACTCTGTAAATGTTATTTGGCTATCATGTTGTTTTAAAAACAATGAATCTTTGGCAGAAAAATAATTTGCTTTTTCAGTATGACATATAAAATCTAAGTCTACAAAGTAGAGAAACTGCTAAGATGTGTAAGCACGCATTAACTGTGTACATTTGTATATACATATTGACTACTTATCTTGTATACGTCTATAGTGTATTGATAAATACGCCTACACACCAGCCTTTCATTTCGCATTATTCCGCTTATGGATACATTAATTGTCGAAATATCTTTAAATTTCTTCATATTGATCAATAATGGCACACAATATAACTGTACATATTGATACGATTTATGGACAATTCATATTGCTTCTTTGTTAGCATTTAAATTATTGTTTTAAGAAATTAAGTGTTAAGGCCTCGTAGCATAAATTTTTTTCATTAAATGTCATGACAAGTGGGACGGATGATTCATGGACACAAACACACACATGTATACCCATTGACGATTGTATGGTGACTGGGAGAAATTGTCATAATACCCTGGACACAAATATTCACATTAGTCGGTGATCAGTGCGAAGTCAGTAACTAATGTCCTATTCGTATTTACTTCCATAAAACCTGACTTTCAGTTATCATGATATCACAAGTTCAAACCCATTTTAATCCGCTTACATTTAAATAAATGTTCGACAGTGATAATAACTTTCCATAATTTATAGTGATTATAGTATGATAGTAAAGATTTTCAATTCAGATGGATGCTTTTGTATTCACTGGGATAGACAGATTTAGTAGCTCAGCTTTTAGTGTTTTTCGGAACAATATTATCACGTACAAGTAAGCTGTCACAAGTGCTAAGTCTGACTGTTCTGATGATATTGTCTGTGAATGGTTGCTTTGATAGACTTACAACATAGAGTTTGTAGTGTTGTTCTTGACGTGGCAACACGGTTATTAAACTAGATGATTTTCGACCATTAAATCATGTGCTTCAGCTTTCCTTTTCCCACTACACAGTCAGATACAATCAATAGTCCTTACATAAAAACGATTGATTTTAAATTGGGTATAGGAATATTAATATGAATTGTAACATAAATAAAGCTAATACAATCTACCACTGATATCAATAAACCAACTTAATTTTGGAAAAAAATACAGAAAAATCATAAAGATAGAGAATCGTTTGATGTCGAAACAACGTGTTTATCTATTGACATAAGGAAGAAAAATAAACAAGCTAAAAAAATGAATCGTCAAACTTGTACAGGCAGAATCCATGCCTAAAGAAGAAGCTAGTAGTTGTTAGAAACTCAGTAACTTAGTAGAGACAGTGGTCATTTTTAAATTAATAAGTATTGTATTTAAGTCTTAGTGTATGAACATAAACATAGGGATGTGACTAGAACTAGATAACATAATATAATAAAATATGTATTACTGGTGTCAGCCAAGATTGATTAATTAAAAGTATTTACACATTTGAAATCATCAGTGAATCATTGTTAGACCACCATTAGAAACCTGGAATCACTGGACGGCCGTTTCGTCCTGGTATGGGACTGATCAGCAGTGTGTGACCAGTGGAGTTCAACCCTGTTGGGTGTAGGCTGTAACTACCAAGGACAAATGGGTGAGGTCGAGCAAAATCCCTAGATCAATCAGAGTTAGACATTAACACCATTCGATGCTGGCCCAGTGGCCCAAAGGTTAGGCATTCGTGCACAATACCGAAGATCGTGGGTTCGGATCCTGTGAGGTACGGGAGTCGTGGATGTGCACTGCTGATGAGTCCCATACCAGGACGAAACGGCCGTCCAGTGCTTTCAGGTTTCTAATGGTGGTCTAACAAGGATTGATTGATGATTACAAATGTGTAAAAAAGGGGAAAATCCCAAGTTTTACGAAAATGTAACATTATGGTACAACTTTAAAAGTGAACTCGTTTAAAAGGATTCCTTTACTGAATTAATAAATAATTTACTTCACAAAAATAATTTATTGCTAAATTAGACGAATATAACTGAGCAGCGAGAAATTGATCAAAATTCATGAATATGAAAGAGGCAAAAGTGAGTTAATCGGTGATATGAAAAGTAATTTCGACTTATTATCATTGAAAATCTTCGACTGCCAGTTTACAATCTTTCACAACTAATAGCCAAAGAAACGTAAACATATTCACACAAATCAATAAAAATTATTTGAGCTTACTATCTAACCAATCGATATCATTTAACTTTTCTATTGAGTACTTCAACCTTATATTGCGTACTATCTAAAGAGGTTAATTGTTTTACACTGTTCTAGATCGACACAAAGACAATAGTAAACTATAAACTTATAAATAAATGTTTCAAAAATCTTACACTGAAATCAATGTAATTTGCATTGAATGGTAATCAATATCATGTTTGTCTAGTCTTTGGTATTGATTGAACTTTTTCGACCTAATTACAATGTAACAATGACTAATTTAAATGATAAAACAGTGTTCAAAATATGTTTTGGTTTAAGCTAATAATGAGAAATAGTTGACAAGAATTTCTATTGTACTTAGGTTTTGGGTCAATTGATATTTATTTACAAAGCAATTCCAATAGAAGCAAAAGAACTACCACTCAGTGTGTGATTTGAATTTGTGTCACCCAGGCATGTAATTTAAACATTCTTGTGTATAGTTAAAATAGTGTTTTAGTCATCAGCTCCGACAGGAGCCCCTCTGGGGTTTATTCTAGTCCCAAACCAGGATAAATGGGGAGGTTAGGGCGTAGGGTTAGCGACTCCGTTAGGTAGGAATCTAACTCGCTAGGAAAACGCTAGTCACCAAAAATAATTCAAACCATTTTAACTCAGCCCTTGGAGTGAGACGTCTTCATCTAAAAAACTGATGACGTCTCATGATGAAAGCCGAGTTCCTTCAGAAGTCATGACGCCGATGCCCCTTCTCACAACCACAGTAACAATTAATTTAGGTACATGAAATGTCCGTACAGTGTGAAAGACCGGAAGACTATTCCAAGTTGTTGCGGAAATGAAAAGATACAACCTGGAGGTTTTTGGAGTCAATGAAATTCATTGGACTCAAGTTGGACAACTTAGACTAGCTTCAGAAGAGCTGCTGTACTCCATCCATGAAGAAGAAAATGCTACACATACACAAGAAGTTGCGTTAACACTGTCCAAACAAGTACGAAAGATACTGATAGGATGAAAATCTCATGGACCTAGGATCATTAAAGCATCGTTCAAAACAAAGAAAGAAGGCATTACAATGAACGTCATTCAATGCTATGCGCCCACCAACGATTACAATGAAGACGCTAAAGATCAATTCTAAGAGAGACCGAAGTCAGTCGTTGAGAAATGCCCAACAAAGCTCTTGATCATTCTGATATAACACCTAAAAGCCAAGGATGGAATGAACAACACTGGATATGAAGACATCATGGGGCGACACGGACTGAGAGAAAGAAACAAAAATCGTGACAGATTTACAAACCTATGCACCTTTAACAAACTGGTCATAGGCAGCACAGTATTCCCACACAAACGCATGCAAAAAACTACAAGGATCTCACCGGATCACTATACACGACACCGAATCGACCATATCTGCATCAATAAAAGCTCAGATGGACGATGGAGGACGTGAGAACCAAGAGAGGCGCTGATATGGGCTCAGTTCATCAGTTGCTGGCCGCCAAGATGAAAATGAGACTCAAGAAACACTGGACAAAGGGGCGGACAACATCAAAAAAAGTTTAATACGGAGTTTCTTTGGGATACTGACAAACTCAACAAATTCGAGCTAGTCCTCAACAATAGGTTCCAGGTCTTTCATGATCTATCCAATAGAGAGAACACTACCTTACTGAACAACTAGGAAGGAGTCAAGGAGGAAATCATTTTAACATATCATGA